TTTTTGACGAATTGCAGAGACGAGATCGCGCCATGTTGCCCAGGCTGGTCTCGAACACATGGGCTCAGGCAATCCTCCTGCCTCCGCCTCCCAAAGTGCTGGGATTACAGATATGAGCCAACGCACCCAGTTAACTTCACCTGTTTAAGGCATCTAACAGCCTCAACGATTTGCCCTGAGACCCAGGAAAGGGAGCCAATATTAGTATTTTCCACATGCCCTGCTCTCAAAATTCAGGTCAATACCGCAATTTAGCTAAATTATGGGTTAACTGGGGAGTCAAACTACTATTAAAAAGAACTGCAGGCTGGGCGCAGTGGATAAAGTCTATAATCCCAGCACTTTAAGAGGTCAAGCCGAGAGGATTGCCTGAACTCAGGGACTTGAGACCACCAGCCTGGGAAACTTGGTGAGACCTCGTCTCTACAACGAATCAAAAAAAAATAAGCAGGCGTGGTAGTGCATGTCTGTAGTTCTAGCTACTTAGAAGGCTGAAGTGAAAGGACCACCTGAGGCAAGCAGGTCAAGGCTGCGGTAGCCATGAGCGTGCCACTGCACTCCAACTCCCCCTGAAAAAAGAACTGCAAACTGAGATCTATGTTTCTCTTCTCACCACTGATACATCTAAGTTGGCCCTCAGTAGCCACCCTAAAAATGTAAGACATTTTAATATTATAATTTCACATAAAAATCTAGAATTCTGGATTTTCTCTAGAAATAAAGAAAAAGTCTGGCAACACTGGGCCCTCACTCCTGCATAACTACAACTTTCTAGAATCACAGAGAGGTTTGTGCCTCCAGACCACATGTGCTCTCCCATTTGCTACACACACTCACTCATACAACAAAGCATACTTACACCCTTGACACATTTTAAGGTGCAGATAAATGTGATGCATCTACATGCAAAGGAAAATGCATTCTAAGATCCAATCCAAATCTACTTGCAAACAAATTTGGATTATAATTTACCTTTTAATTAATGGCTCCTGGCACATAAAGATATACAAAGTATCTTGCTAGACTTATCAAGAATAATATCACAAAAGTCAAATTTATAAAAACTAACTTGGCAAGCTAGGGTTATTTTTTGAATACATAACCATTTCAATGAGCTCAAAAGCACCCTTTGAACTTTATATGGGTAACACAAGATATGGCATACAATGTTTACTAGCCTATTACCTGCAAAAGAGAGATAGAAGACAACCTAGTCAGATGATAAATGTGGCATCTTTTGGATAACAATTCTAAAGGGGTGCAGGGTAGCCCTACACGTAGATCTGTATCCTAGCTCCTAAAAATACAGAAGCTAAAATTCTAGAATACATACTTCCTAATGAAGACCTCTAATATCTCAGTATGTTATAGTTTTGGTTTTTTTTTTTTGAGTTGGAGTCTCACTCTGTTGCCCAGACTGGAGTGCAGTGGCCACTCCCAGCCACCGCAGCCTCGACCTGCTGGGCTCCAGCGATCCTTCCGCCTCGGCCTTCCAAATAGCTGGAACTACAGGCATGCACTACCACACCCAGCTAATTTTTGATTTATTGTAGAGATGAGGTCTGCCAAGTTGCCCAGGCGGGTCTCGAACCCGCAGGCTCAGGCAATCCACTCACCTCCGCCTCCCAAAGTGCAGGATTACAGGCTGAGCCACCGGGATTACAGGCTCAGCCACTGAACCTGACTATGTTATAGTTTTATAAAGGATAACCACCATGGAACTGCCCAGCATCCCTCATTAATCTGCTAAACAATTTAAGGCTATAAAAGTCTTAGTACTTTTTTTTTTTAAATTGATGGACTTAGTCAAGGATAAAACTCAAGTAGTACTTAAACCAATTATGAAAAAATCTTATCTCTATAAATCTTAGGAGCTAATCACTCTTTGAGTGTTCTATTTCTATCCCACCATTTTGAAACTATCTTGCAATTGCAAGCCCCAATAAGTCATAAATCATCCCAAATACCAACTTGATGTATCAAGCAGATTAGAGTTCTTAAAATAGGTGAGTTAAGATGTCTTTTATGTCACAAAACATTTATTATAGAAAAATGATGGTCAAATAGATGTTTCTGCAGAAAGGATCATAGTAATAAAAGTACCATAGTTCCTATTCCTCTACTACAAAAAAGCTCTAGGCACAAGCTGAACCTAGACACTATTTATGATCAAGAGGCAGGAAATACAATTAGATTTCTTTTGTCAAGTGCTTGGTTATCCTATTCTAAAACATGTAGTCTGGGTTAGTGGTCGAGGTTTTTTTTTTGTTTGTTTCAGCTGGGGTGGGGAAGGTGGAGTCATTCAGACTTCTCACATGGTTTTCTAAGACCTGTATCACTAGTTTTTGCTGGTAAATCAAGTCAACGGAACTAGATAAACTCAAGGATCCCTTATTACCCTAAAATTCCAACTTAAAAGAAACGGCCATTTTTCATCTGTATCCTAAGACCAGAATAGTTAAACTTAAACCTGCCTTTTCTGAATTCCAATTTACTCTACTTCAGAACCATGAAATCACAGAACAATGAACACATGTGAGGTCTTTAAAAGTTATTTTAACTATTTTCACATTAGGAAAAAAATATTTTTTTAAGAAAAACAAAACTTTATATTTTGGGAGAAACAGTATGTTTAATATTAAGGTTTAAGAGTCAAATAAAACCATAAACTGCACTTGCTTGCTTCTAGAGAACACTCACAATAAAGAACATTAATTCCAGCCGGGCTCAGTGGCTCAGCCTGTAATCCCGCGCCTTGGCTGAGGTGAGTGGATTGCCTGAGCCCGCAGGTTCGAGACCCGCCTGGGCAACTTGGCAAGACCTCATCTCTACAATAAATCAAAAATTAGCCAGGCATGGTAGCGCGTGCCTGTAGTTCCAGCTACTTGGAAGGCTGAGGCGGAAGGATCGCCGAGGGCCAGCAGGTTGAGGCTGCGGTGGCCGGGAGCGGCCACTGCACTCCAGTCTGGGCGACAGAGTGAGACTCCAACTCAAAAAAAAAAAAATTAATTAATTCCATAAGAAAAGGCAAGGCGTTAACCAGTAACAGTTGTTAAAGGAAGAAACTGCATATAAGTTGGCTGTTGATTTTGACTAGTTCTAAGAATATAAACTGTTGAAATTAGCCCTTAAATTATATTTAAGAAATTATTCTTCACACTTTAGAAATTAGTCTTTTGGGACAGGAAGCAAAAGAGACTTATTGTACACAGATTTCATCTCTTTGGGGTACTCTAGCTGACTTCCTGTGTTTTCCTTTGATTAAATGCGGTAGAGGGTGAAGAATAAATGCCCATAATAGTTATATCTAAAGCCAACCCACAAATCCTATAAAACGTAAAACATTCAAATGATAAGCTCTTTTAACTGTGCAATTAAAATTAAAGTAATCTTTTTAACTGAAAGCTTACACTTTCCCTTTAATCCCTCCAAATCAGAGCCACGGGAAATTTTTCATAAAACCATTCCATACCTTATTTTCACAGAAAAATTCAGTCCCCAAGCAAATGAATAATAAAACATGCCAAAATCTAAGCTCAATCTCCTCATAAAAACATGAGTGAAAAGCATACCGAAATCCTTGTTCTTTTATGGCAAATGCTGGTGTTTCCAAGGGGAAGATTTCAGACTGCACAAACATTTCCCTCACTCTTCGGTCTATGACCTTCCCATACTGAGCACCAGCATCCAGAATGACAACGGCTTCATAGTTGTGGTGGCCATCCTTCAGGTCTCCTCCAGCCTTCTCCAGCTGCAAATGTTAATACAAACATCCATTCCTAATTGGGAAAATTAGAGCCACAGTACTTTAAAAAAAAAAGCAAATCACTTTCAACTCCAAAAACACATAGAAACAAAAACTTAGAACTCTCTGAGTTCCCAATTCAAAACACCCTCCTTTTAAGGGGAATATTTTAATATTTATATGTGGACATACATTAAACACTTAAACTGAATAAAAGCTTCCATTTGTGGACTATGTGATCGGTCACTTTATGTATACATCTTACACACATGATTCAATAGTAGAATGAGCATACAATCCAGCTCTGCCAAAACACAGTCCTGGTTTATGCCTGCCATACTGGCATTATTATTATTGTTGTTGTTGTTACTATATTATTATTATTATTATTATTATTATTATTTTAAAGCGAGATTTATTGAGAAGACAGAAATGCTCCCACAGTGGAAGGGGACCTGAGGGGGTTGCCAGGCATTATTATTAATAGCGCCTTCCTTCAATCCCAGTTTGGACAATAAATTACATAGTCACCCTATCAATAGTCATAGCATTCCTATGAGGAGGGACTGAGGAGGAAACTAAAAGTTTGGTACTAGAGTGTAAGCATGGCCAATTCACTCTATCAGAAAATTTATATATATATATATATATATATATATATATATATATATATATATATGTATCTAACCCCAACACTAAGATTTTAATAGGTTTTTAAAATCTTATCTCTGTCAAGTGTACACTGATAACACTTTTCTGGAAAGCAATTCAGCAAAAGGTCAAATGGTTAACTGTGTGCTGAAATATGTACCTGAAATCGGTTTCAAAATAATGCAAAGGTAGTTGGGTATGGAAGAAACAAGACTGCCCATGTACTGAATCACTGAAGCTGGTGATAGGTACATTAAGTTCACAGGACTAGTTTGGTCTCTATCCTGGTTTTTTATGTGTGTATTTTGAATTTTACAGAAGGAAAAGCTTGAAAAATGTACGTATACCTGGAAATCCACTAAGAGGAAGCATATACTATATGACCCCATTTTAATGTAGTCTATGTAAAAGTGCAAGTGTCTGTATGCCTGTATAAAAAAGAAGAGTATGAGTCAGGTGTGGTGGCTCACGCCTGTAAATTCAGCACTTTGGGAAGTGGAGGCCAGAGGATTGACAAGACCTCATCTTTACAATAAATCAAAAAAACAGCTGGATGTGGCAGCACGCACCTGTAGTTCTAGCTACTTGGAAGGCTGAGGCAGCCATGAGAATGTCACTGCACTCCAGCCTGAGTGACAGAGTGAGACTCTGACTCAGGAAAAAAAAAAAAAAGAACAAGAGTATGGTGGACATATATCAAAATGTTAAAAGAGTGATGCAACAGTTTCATCTGAAAAATGAAACTAGAAGTGACTTTAAATTTGTTTTTCTTTATACTCTTCAATATGTTCTAAATGTTTATAATAATCATATTTTGGGAGTTTCCCCCTCTCCAGTTGTAAAATTTGCACATAAAATGCTTAAGCAGGTCCTTTAGCCACATTAACCTTTTCCAACCCTCTCCATCTCCATTTATCTGCAAAAAAATAAGTGCAGGCCTGCACTTTCTGCTGCAGTAATGAAAAAGCAAGTGTCACAGCCACATGGAGAGGAGGATTTGTGAGAGGGATGTAACCATGGGCTAGAAACAATTACTCAGGACACAGTAGTGAAGGCTTTGGTCATAAGGGCATTCAACATTGTGGAAAAATAAGGTCACAGGAACAAGCTAAAACTTTTTCCTTCAAACCTTTGTTTTTAGTCTTAGTGTTCTCTGACCCTTCCCCCCCAACTTAAGGGATTTCTCCATAATTCCTTAATCTCAATGTTTTAAAGAATAGTCACACTATTTTTGAGAGACCAAATTTCTCAGATCCAGTCACATTATCACTTTTACAATTTTTACCAAATCCGAGTATAACCTATTTTACATTACAGGCAGCGTTCTTGCCTGTACGGTCCCGATACTGCACAAATTTCAATTACCCTGGTTTATACCAAGGTTTAGTTAATTAACACTAGTCCCCAACAACATGGCTCAAATGTCAGTTATCAAATATTACTGTGATAGTTAAAGCACAAACTCCACTGCCCTGTTCTTCAGTCCGCAAATCACCAGGTAAATAACAGATAAACATCAAGATCAGTGACCAATCGCATCCCCACTTTCAGAGACTGTTGCGGATTGGTCGCTGAACAACAAATAGCCACAAGCGCAGTTTGTTGCCTCCGTCTTAGTGATAAACCCACAGGGCATTTTACAAATACAGATAATCCAAGCAAGGGCCTGGTCAACAAAGATAGACATGCAGCAAAGAAATGAAAAGCGATAATGCTGGAAGTGAAACTCAAATACAAAAGGAGTTACAGAAGAAGATGCTGACTGTGGCAGTGTAGACACTGCTAGGGTTTGAGAGCCTCTGGATATGCAGCCACAGGAACTTACCAGCACCAGCGAGAAAAATGGTTTTGATGAAAAGAATGGCCATGGCCCAGAGGAAGTGACTCCAGGAAAACACTTCACATTAAAGAAACTTTAGGAGGTATTTCATGACATGAAAAGTACAAGGGAGGCCAGGCACAGTGTCTCATGTCTGTAATCCCAGCACTTTGAGAGGCTGAGGCGGCAGGACTGCTTGAGCCGAAGAGCTCGAGACCGGCCTGAGAAATATAGTGAGACTTCATCACTACAAAAAACGAAAATAAAAAAGTTAGCTGGGGTCGGGCTCAGTGGCTCAACCTGTAAACCCAGCACTTTGGGAGGCCTAGGTGAGTGGATTGCCTGAGCCTGCGGGTTCAAGTCCCGCCCGGGCAACTTGGCGAGACCTCGTCTCTACAATAAATCCAAAACTAGCCAGGCGTGGTAGAGCGCGCCTGTAGTTCCAGCTACTTGGAAGGCTGAGGCAGAAGGATCGCCGGAGCCCAGCAGGTCGAGGCTGCGGTGGCCGGGAGCTTGCCACTGCACTCCAGTCTGGGCAATGAAGTGAGACTCCAAATCAAAAAAAAAAAGGTAGCCGGGAATGGTGGTGAACGCCTTAAGTCCCAACTGCTTGGGTGGCTGAGACAGGAGGATCACTAGAGTCCAGGAGCTTGAGGCTGTGGTTAATGTAAGTGTGCCAACGCACTCCAGCCTGGGCAACAGAGTGAAACTCCAGCTCAAAAAAAAAAAAAAAAAAAAGTGCAAAGGAGAAAATGTTGAAAGTCACCAAGGCATAGAAAAGATACAAAGGGAAGTGATGTTTAAATATTCCTGGTAATTTTTTTTTACAAGAAATAAAATGCTTTAATTTGCAATGTTACTAATGTTTTCAATTTTACCACACTAAATAGTAGTTATACTATTTTTTTATTTCCCTATACTTTTATAATTGACAGGAGTTTTTAATGTTTTAACAAAAGCTTTTTAAAGGTCACAAAACAATCAGAATTTTCCCACTGATTACTAAAATTGTTTTGCAGTTTCAAGCTCGCATGATTATTTTTATGGTTGTTTTACTATTGTACATAGCAAGGACTGCACTAAAAAAAAACTGGCCAGGTTCAGTGGCTCATTCTATAATCCCAGCACTTTGGGAAGCTAAGGCGAGTGGATTGCCTGAGCCCGTGGGTTCGACACCAGTTCAGAAAACTTGACAAGACCTCAACTCCACAATAAATCAAAAATTAGCCAGACGCAGTAGCCCACAACTGTAGTTCCGGCTACTTGGAAGGCAGGAGGATCACCAGAGCCCAATGGGGTGGCCGTGAATGTGCCACTACACCCCAGCGTGGGCAATGGAATAAGATTCCAACTAAAAAAAACAAAACAAAACAAATCTCTACTCAAATAAATGTACTTTAAAATAATTTTTACTGTTTTCTTAGCAATGTTTTAAAATGTTCAGCCACATGACACCAGAGGTCACTCAAAAAATTTTGACTCCTTGCCTCCCTTCTCTCCCCCTTGACTATCAATTTACCTATCTGGCACATAGCTTCAAAACAAAGAAAAAGGCCCCCAGTAATACAAAGTTCCTTTCCTCAAAATCTGGAATTTACTTACTCCACTTCACACACAGTTGTAGTTAGATAATTAGATATCCAAAGCATCAACAGATTAGAAAAACTACCCTAACGAAAGAAAACAGTTAGTCATATCAAAGTAAAGACAAATAAAAAGCAACATCACAAAACAGAAGACGCTATTGTATCTATTTATAAAATCTATTAAAAAGGTAAAAGTCTAAAGGCTTAAAGTGTACATCCTTCAACTGTCCTGATGTCGTCATCATAAAGTGAATTATGTTCATAAAGATGCAAGGAAAAAAATATCCAACTCCTGGGCTCAAATAATCCTCTTGCTTTGGCCTTCCAGTGCTGGGATTACAGGCCTGAGCCGCCGCGCCCAGTCTCTCTATCCTTTTTTATTTTAAAAAAATTTAACCTACAGAAAAGTTCAAAGTTTGGCATAATATACACCACTCTTCATCCAAATTCAACAACTAGTAACATTATGCTACATGTTCTTTATTTCCATCTACACATATATTTCCAGAAAGTAAACTGTAGACCTTTCATTCTCCAAAACACTTTTCGGCACGCATCTCCTACAAACAGGGATATTCTCCTATATAACTACAACACCACTATCACATCCAAGAAATCTCACACTGACGAATATTTACATACAAATTTCCCCAACTGTCACAATGTCTTTATGGTTTTTGCTTTTAATTCCAGAACCAATCAAGGACTACACACTTGGCACATATATTGCCATATACTGTCTCCTTTAACTATTCACCTGCTCACCTTGTCATGATTTTTTTAAGACAATGATCTTTTTTTTTTTTGAGTTAGAGTCTCACTCTGTCACCCAGACTGGAGGGCAGTGGCATGCTCCCGGCCACCGCAGCTTCAGCCTGCTGGGCTCCGGCGATCCTTCCGCCTCAGCCTTCCAAGTAGCCGGAACTACAGGCGCGCAACTACCAGG